TATTTCAGCTTAATTTAAAATACCTGCATGTGAACATTACAAACCTTTTGCGGGTAGAAGCATAAACAAATAATAGCATGATTTGTACGTGATATTTTGCATAGATACCACTCGTGATGTTTCAAAATTGTCTCAAATTTCACTCGCCTAACGGCTCATGAAATTACATATAACTATTTCGAAATATCATTCGTGGTATTTATGCCAAATATCACTACAAATCATGCTATTACCTATACTAATCCTGTACTAACGAAAAAAAAAGCCAGCTTTTGCCACTCCATACTACCCTTTTATTATACATGCAAAAAGAAATACATACAGTCGAACCTTTCCACAACGGCCACCCTGGGACAGAAGAAAGTCGCCGTTGTGGAGAGGTGGCCGTTATGGGGAGGTAGGCCAGCGTAATATGACAAATTTTTTTTAGTGAGTACAACATGTTTATTGTGCTAGGTTCATACTTACTGTATCTCATAATGGTAATCCAATCATACATATCATGGAGATAAAATACACAAAAAACTTGAATCACATTTTGAATCAAAATGTTGATGTGACAAATTAACCAAGTTTCGCAACATTCGCTATAACTACCGTAGACAACTTATGCTTGCTGCAGCAGTATAAAGGAAACAAAATCAAAATGCACAGTTGCCGCGATTAATCATCAACGTGCCATACGGATCAAATTTCATGACCATTCTTGACTTTTCCATCAGTCGCTGGCCGTTGTCGAGAGGTTATTTTGGCAGTTGCGGACACACTTTAGTGGCCGTTGCCGTTGTAGAAAGCTTTAAATAAGGTTCAATGTAATGACTGTCCGCCGCGACAAAGTAAAGTGGCCGTTTTAGAGAGGTGGCCGTTAGTAGAGGTTCGACTGTAACTTCACTGCTGCTTTAGCGCATTCAAATTGCTCCGCTACATCTTACACCATGGTAAGGGCGGAGCTTAAAGGGGCTATGAACTTTATTTTTTTATGTCGACTACGCCTCCTTATTCGCCAAGGAACTTGCGAAATAGACCTTTTTACCGATACGGCGACCATATTGAATTACTTAGATTTAAGGAGTATTGTGGGATGCCCAGAGGGCATGAGCACTATCCGATATACTCGCTCAGTATTTACGTGTTTTCCTAAAAAAAGATTGTAATGGGGAAAAAGATCGTCGTGCGATGTTTGGATGTAATAGTGATTGCCTTTTTCCCGAGAAATAAACAGTGAAGTTCTCTGCGAGGGTAAATACTGAGCGAGTGCCCCCTGGGCATCCCATAATACTCCTTAAAACTAATAAATTCAATATGGCCGCCGTATCGGTAAAAAGGTCTATTGCTTGTGAATGACCCAACCACAGCTTCTTGTCAAACAAACATGTTTCCCAAACTTTGTTGCATGTGCAGCCTGTTCCAGGCTCTCAGATAGTGGGGAAGACGCGGAGTGTTTGCGCTTTCTCAATTCCGCGGAACCCGGTTATCTCTGAGCTTGGAACATTCTATAGCTCATGTTAAAAGCAACATAAAAGAAATTTGAAAAACTGTTTGGCTAACACCGAGTTTTCAAAAACTACAATTGCAACCCGTTTCAATCTTCTTCATGGTTTGTCTATCCGTGTCCTCTTTTGTATTTTTACGTTGTTTTTTATACCATCTTTACGTGTTGCGAGCAGTTATGTAATGGTTGACTCAGTTCGGTAGCGGCTCCCACCGTTTGAATTTTGATAAATTTCGTGACACAGTAAGGATGGAAGGATTAACAAAGGGTTTTGCTCTTCCTTTTCCTATAACAATATTGTTTTGATGTTACAGGAACTGGGAAAACCACTTTTATCCGAATGTTGGCTGGAAAGCTTGAACCAGACAGTAAAGGTATGGTGTCTATCCACTTGGCTCCTTCGCCACTTTAGAAACGAGAAGGAAGCTACAATGGAGGACAAAAGAACTTGGGAGTGTGCGAAAAACCCTTCCAAGTTATTGTCACGTAGGACCCTGCTCCTAACGACAATTTTTTTATCGGCTCTAAGTTCATACCCTCATCCCCCACTTCCCCCCCCCCCCCCCCAGCAATGTTTTGGCCCCCAAAAAATTTTGCTCAAAATTCAACTTTGTTTTGGGTGGGAGGGGAGGGGTCACTAGTTTTACTAATATCACTGGAAAGGTCCCAGCACATTTGACCTCCATTATAGAGCAGAAATGTGTGCCGCAAGTGTTTGTGGGATTGTTACTACGGACTGGCACTAGTAACAGTCCCCGAAAGTAAACTTGACCCAGTTTTTTTCTTACTTCTCAAGTGGCGAATTCCAGCCAACTGCAGTTATTACGAACACCGTGTATGAGCCCTTAGGAGCGAGAGTCCGTTATAGGGAGGAGTCCCCAAGGCCAGAGTAGATTGTAGTTTGTTTTTTGTAATTAATACAGGGGCTCTGTCATAGTGATATGGGCATCCCCGCGTTTTGGGCATCCCCATGGCCAAAACCTTGGCTAGTGATATTGGCATCCCCTGTAACCCTAACCCTAACCCTAACCCTAACCCAAATCGCTAACGGTTTGGTTTACGGGGGATGCCCATATCACTAAGGTTTGGGAATAGGGATGCCCAAAACGCGGGTCGGCCCATATCACTGTAACAGCTCCACTTTTCTTAGAGATAGTAGAACGAGCTAGACACGTGAACCTAAGACGCGTATCAAGGAATATTTCACCTGGTGAAAGAAAGAAATGTGCCCACTTGAAGAAGCTCTTATGTGAGACTAATTCGTTTGATTTCCTTTTATTTCCAACAGAGCAAGTGCCCGTGATGAATGTTAGTTACAAACCTCAGAAGATAAGTCCAAAATCAAAGGTAAAGCTACATTCAGTTAGGTTACTCGTTTTTCCATAGGCAACTCCTCCACCGGCAACTCCTCTTGTAACGGTTAAACTGACCGTGAGAAGTCTGTGAAGGAGTAAAGGAGAAAAGAAAGAGGACTAGGAGTCACTGTCTCTCCGGCGTTCTCACCCTATTCACCCTCTTTTTCTCTAAAACAGGACAGTGATGCCTGCGGAGGAGGCTACATCATGCTAGTTATTTACTGATAACTGCTTATAACTGTGACGTGTATTATACTGCCTTTTTTTCAGACCACTGTGCGCGTGCTTTTACACGAAAAGATCCGTGACTCTTACGTTCATCCCCAGTTCATTGCTGATGTCATCAAACCTCTTCAGATTGAACCAATCATGGATCAGGAGGTGGGTGGGGTCAAGTTGTACTGTGGGAGGGGACTGTGCGATGCTGAGCTCTTTTCATAAAATATACGGAAAAATTTTAATTGGCCATTTCCGAGTTTAAAAAACTCTCACTATCAAAACGAGGCTAAGCGCAAAACGTTTTCTCGTCAAAATGAGTTTTATTTGCACGGGACTAAAAAATCATTTTCGTATCAATAGTTTCGCACTTAGCCTCGCTTTGAAACAGAGGCTTGGGGTAACACGGAGATGGCCTATTGTGACATAAGTTTTGTGAGATGTAGGAAGATTTTGAGTGCAGAGAAAGTGGCGGCATACTATAGACTTTTGGCAAGGATGCACATGCAATATGTACTTGCAATGTGCAGTAAAAACTTTTTTTGTGTTGGATGGGCGGTCGGGAAACTTAGCAATAGGCGTGAAAAACGTGGTTTGTTGTTGGAAAAACATAATTGGTATGCGTCGAAACCGTGATGTGTGTTGGAAGCGCTAAAAAAACTTGTCACTTAAGCAATCTTGGGGAAAGGAAAAACGTAATAGAAACGACGTAGAGGTTAAAAACAACCTCAGAGCTGTTGAATCTTTTCTATGTATAGCAAGTCCGTTAAGGTATCATCCACCCTCAAGCACCCTCAGTCCCCGCGTTGATCGGCGCTAGCGCTTTTGCTTTTAATAAATACCCCCATAAACCGTACATTTTCTGAAAGCTTAATAGTTCCAGATTATTGCTTATTCCTTTTAAAAGATCAAAATATTAACGCGATTCAGAAATGAGAAGCTTTTTGTGAAAGTGGGTGTCACCGTAAATTTAAGTCCAGGCCAGCCAAAAATAAACGGAAGAAGCCAATGAAGATCGCATTCGCTTCTTAACACGTTTGACTTAAAAACCGTGTCTCAGATTTTTGTCAAGTGGGTTTGTTCTTTTGTTATAAGCAGTTGAAGTCAGGGATAGCAAATCATTAGCACTACCTGTGAAAAAAATACTCTTACTCGAAAACGAAAAAAGGAATCAAAATTCGCAGACACGGTTTTTTAAAAAAACTATCTGACGGTAAGTTGGCCAAATTTCAGCCAAATTGGTTCAGGGGTTGCCTGATTTTCATTTCGAGAAACAGGGGAAAAAGATTTTTGGCGGCGTATTACCCGTGACGAGATTAACACCAAAGCTGTCAATGTTGATGCATACCAGAAAAGGGACAACAATTGTGACACAGCAGGAAAAAGGTTACAAACGAAACCCGACAACAGATGAGCAATTTATTTCAAAGGCTCTGCTCTGTTCGATCCTTCTGTTGTCGAGAAAGCATCTTTAGTTATTTGCGACGGGCAGTTTTCATTTTGAGCCAAGCCAACTTTTGCTCGATACATTTTCTAAAAGTTCGACACTTCCCTGGAAAAATCGACCACAAACCGCTTCCTGGAGTTTTTCTTGAAGCGGCTCTCCAGCTACAATAGACTTTCAAAAAAGTCCTTCGTCCGATTTGTATATGGCGCGGGACCTGTCGCGAATTTGTCGCTCGCTTGGCCGCTTCGCGGCCGAAAAGCTCGCTCCGCTCGCTAAGAAACTCGTGAAACTCGATTTCGTGGTAGTTTCAATGGGTTTTTCAGAAGCTTTGTCATCTTTTAGCCATTTTTCTTGATTGAAGTAGGAGCCCTTGTCGCTCTCTGCTAATTTCGAAGCCCACACTTTGCAAAACGATCTGGTCGTCTTCTTTCGTCTTGGAGTCGAGGACGAAACCGGACAAGCTCGTTTTTCTTCTTTGGAGGCATTCACTTCCAAAATCCAGGGAAAAACAGTGAGTACTATACTAGATCACGATTTCTGTCAAATTGCGTGATTAGCTTGGTTTAACAGCGGCATGCGTATCAAGTATGACAGGACTTGTCAACGATCAATTAGACTAATTAGCATAGAAAAAACTGCACAGAAAAAACATTTTTTTCTGGAATTTTTTTTAAAAGAAAGCTCTTCATGAGCTCTACGTAATCATCTAAAAATTGAAAATTTCGAAAAAAGATGAGTTTTTACCCTGGATGATACCTTAATATTAAGATTTGTCTACCGTACAAAGATGGTAACCTGTTTTAAGTACAAACTGAGATAGATCGTTGAAAGCGCAGTTACAGTTGAAATTTTGAACGTGAAAAGGACAATTTAAACCTTTCAACTATTATGGTCGAAACTTCATGAGCGACCGCCTCTCGTAAATTACCACCTATCCAAAACGCCAGAATTTCCCCAGTCATACTTGACACCGCGTCTCAAAAGTGACCGCGACCACTTTTGACCTGACGGTTTTATAGTTTTACATTATTTTTAACCTCTTGTAAGTGAACAATTGCCGCATGTTGTGGTCTTTTTGTTCGCGGTATGTACTACGCTATAAGGTATACGAAGACCTTTTAGTAATAATATGGAACTACACGTTTGCGCAAACTTGAAATTGCTTCCAATGAAATTATTATCTGACAAAAAAATAGATGTCTGTCTGGACATCTTCTCGGAGAGACTCCCCCGCCGTGGTTCGATTCTCGTAAGCGACCATCTCCACTAAAACGATTTCTAAATCTTCGCATTTTGGGTGGTCCCTTACGACAGGTTCGACTGTATAACTGTTATCAGGTTTAGAAGCATTGCTTGGGTCCAAGAGCCATAATGTTGTTGGGGTCCTCTATCTTTCCGTGAAATCAATGACAGCCCTCGTTGCAAACTGCCCACTCGTCCTCCATAACTCTCAACAAAGCCCGATTGAAATTATTATGTTTTGCTTTTTTCTCCGTAATGCACGTTTGAGCTGCCGATATCGCTTTAAGGTAAACATGTTCTTCTGTTTTAGGTTCAAAACTTGTCTGGTGGTGAACTGCAACGTGTTGCCCTGACGATTTGCCTGGGAAAGGTATAGCTCGTGTTTGTTTGCTTTTTATAGGATATAGTATATTTAACATCTTTACTTTTGATCACGTCCTATTCGGGCTGCTTCGAGACAACAACGTCAGTTCGTTCATTGTGAGAAGCCGTTTACACGGAACCGTGCAAATTTTGTTGCAGATTGCAGCACTGTTTGCGGTTAAACAATTTTCACTGTTCCGTGGATTCCGTGTAAACGAAAGGCGGATCCGTGCAAGTTTTTGTCCGTTCAGACATCTGCCCAGACTCGTGTAACGGAGTTTCAGTGTGAATGCGAGTGCTTGCGTTGAAACTGGAAATGTTCCCACTCTCAATTTTGCTTTTAGCACTCTGGGGAGAGAATGACCGTAATATCAGAGTTTAAACTTGTCTTATTTTGCAGCCGGCTGACGTATATTTGATTGATGAGCCCTCGGCATACCTGGACTCTGAACAGCGTCTTGTGGCCGCTAAGGTCATTAAACGGTTAGTATAGCTATGAAACGGTTAGTTAGTAACTAACTTGGGAGCCTCATTACACAGGACGGATCTTGCGAAAAAGAAATGATATCGAGAATAGCCCGAGCAAAGAAGCGTTTACTGAGAGAAAAGAACGGCACTCTAAACGCTACAAGAAGGACCAGCCCGAACGCCTCATAAACGTGACAGCCACAAACGCCCACCCCAAACACTCCATAAACAATACAAACTTTTTAAACGCTACAAACGTCCAACCTCAATGCCCCATGAACACTACTAACGCTGTAAACGCCACAAGGATCCCACCCCAATGCCCCATAAACGCTACAAACACTCTAAACGCCACAAGAAGGGCCAGCCCGAACGCCTCATAAACGCTACAAACGTTGTGGACGCCACAAGGGTCCCACCCCAATGCCCCATAAACGCTACACGCTACGCTACGCCACGCCACAAAAAAATAATACAAATACAAATAAAAATAAAAAAGAGGCCAGCCCGAACGCCTCGTAAACACTACTAACGCAGTAAACGCCTCAAGGGTCCCACCCCAATAACACTACTAACGCAGTAAACGCCACGAGGTCCCAACCCAGTGCCCAAAGAGGTGGGTGCCCGGGAGGTCCAGGGGCTTCCACCTTTGGCACAGCCAGCCCCTAGACAGTTGCGCCCCCATGGCTGGCAAACCCGCGCCCTCCAGCCATGAGCCCCGACGCCAATGGAACCAGTCAGTGGAAGAGTAAAGGGCGGGGCGCGATGGGGGTAAAAGAATGATCCAAAGGCCAAACGAAGGGAGTGGCCGCCAGGAAAACGCTGTACTGGGCACATGGAGGTGATGCAAGCAAGGCTGACCGCGCTTGAGCCAAACGACTGACCGCTGACCACGCCCGCGCTCCTTGTTGTTAACTGTGTTAAGTAAATATTTTATTTAACTTCATTTAACAAGTGCGTCGCTTGGTGGAGGTTGGTGCCCGGGATGTCCAGGGGCTTCCATCTTTGGCAGAGCCAACCCCTAGACAGAGTTACGCCCCTATGGCTGGCAAACCCGCGCCCTCCAGCCATGAGCCCTCACGCCAAGCCGAAGGGACCTCCGAGCTGAACGCCAAGCTGGGAGGAAGGGGCTCATGGTTGGGAGAAGCCTGAGCCCCAATACGCCAAACCCGCAGGCACCCACCTATGCTGAGCATAAAGAAACATACAAAGGCTAAACAAGACCCAAGTGCTAAACGTACAGCGCCAACGCCCCATAAACGCTACAAATGCTGTAACGCCACAAACGTCCAACCCCAACACCCCATAAACAATACAAACGCTGTAAACGCCACAAGGGTCCAACCCCAATGCCCTTAAACGCTACAAACACGCCTCACAAACGCTACAAACGCTGTGAACTTCACAAATAAACAATACAAACACCGTAAACGCCACAAAACGTTCAGCCCCAATGCCCCTTAAACACTACTAACGCTGTAAACTCCACAAGGGTCCCACCCTCAATACCCCCTAAACGCTACGAACACTCTAAACGCCACAAGAAGGACCAGCCAGAACGCCTCATAAACGCTACAAAAGCTGTGAAAGCCACAAACGTCTACCCCAAACACTCCATAAAAAATACAGACTTTAAACGCCACAAACGTCCAACCCCAATGCCCCATAAATACTACTAACGCTGTAAACGCCACAAGGATCCCACCCCAATGCCCCATAAACGCTACAAACACTCTAAATGCCACAAAAAACGAGCAGCAGCCCAAACGCCTTATAATCGCTACAAACGTTATGAACGCCACAAGGGTCCCACCCAAATGCCCCATAAACGCTGCACGCTACGCTACGCCACGCCACGCCACAAAAAAAAAAAGAAAATACCAGCCCGAACGCCTCATAAACGCCACAAAAGTCCAACCCAAACACTCCATAAATAATAAAAACACTGTACATGCCACAAACGTCCACCCCCAACGCCCCATAAACGCTACAATCGCTCTAAACGCCACAAAAAACGACCCCCCCCGAACGCCTCATAAACGCTACAAGCGCTGTGAACGCCGCACACGTTCGGCCCCAACGCCCCATGAAAAAACTACAAAAGCTGTAAAAGGACGCTAAAAAAACCAACACAAGTAGTTGTACACTTACTCGCAAACAGACGCTAAAAGTACAAAAAAGACTATAATATTTTTACAGTACTACTAACACTATTTACTACAAAATACTAGAAGGAATGTGGGTACGTGGTGTATTCAAGGGCCTCCACTGTGGTCAGCCAGCCCCTAGAATCCTCTCCCATGGCTAGCAAAACCCCGCAACGCGGCCATGACCCCTGTTTCCGGGCACCCGTCACACTGAAGCATGATGAATCAGTGGAAGGAAACATAGAGGGTAGGGTGGGGAGGGGGAACGCTAAAACAACCGCTTCACGCTAACTCAGCCGCCACAAAAACCGCTCAATTTGATACCGAAGTTGGCGTTCAGCGTGTTCGAGCGATGTGAGTTGTAAATTTCCCCCACACACCGCTAGAAGCCAAAAACGCTTGCCTTAAGGAAAACCAGATAAACCGACGAAACCAGATGAAAACGATCACACAGTTAACTGACTGCCTCGACGTTAAAACAACCGCTCCACGACCGCAACGCAAACGCTCAACGAAGAACTCGAAGATCCTAGCTGTGTACAAAGCTACCACCTACCATGTGAGCCTGCACTTATGGAATTGACCACTAAATGCCCCATAAACTTAAGTTTGTGGATCGCTTCACCGCTAAGCTGGTGGACTGCTTCACCGCTAAGCTCGTGAACCGCTTAACTGCTAAGCTCGTGGCCAGCTAGAGCGCTAAGCTCGTGGACCTCTTGACCGCTAAGTTCGTGAACCGCTTGACCGCTAAGCATGTGAACGCAAAACCACAGTCGTTCCGTCTCTCGAAAACACCGTCGCCAAGCTGTTGTCGAACTTTGGAACCATGAAATTGCGGATTAAACACCCGAGCAAAAACCATGGCCAAACGCAAAGACGAACATCCCGCCAAGATTTTCGGCCCAAATTACGAAGAAACAACGATTGCACAAAAGCCGAGCGTAGCCAAAGACAACGAAGAAAGAAAATGGCTTTACCGAACAGTAAAAAATAGCGAGAATCAGACGGTAAAAGAATGATCCAAAGGCCAAACGAAGAGAGTGGCTGCCAGGAAAACGCTGTACTGAGCACATGGAGGTGATGCAAGCATGGCTGACCGCGCTTGAGCCAAACGACTGACCGCTGACCACGCCCGCGCTCCTTGTTGTTAACTGTGTTAAATAAATAATCTATTTAACCTCATTAAAACGATCTCACCAGACAGATCGGACCCTTATGGTCAAGATTAACCAAGCTCAGACACCTGTGGGATCAATCCAGGGAGGGGTTCCCCTGTCAAGAGTGAATACAAACCCTGATGATGATGATGATGATGATGAAAACAACGTTAAGTGGTAATGGTTCATTTAAGTCTTTGAATCTTTAGCAGCTATTGTCAACTTGTCTCTTTTGAATAAAATGCTATTTGTCCGTTTTTACCTTCCGAGTTGCGACAATAACCCAAGTATTTGGTTAATCTGATCGATTAACTGTGGAGCAGATAATCAATCGATAATAATTATTGTTTCAAATAATAGGGCCCCTTTTGGGGCTCTAATGTATTACCAGGAAGGTAAATGCGAAAGTAAATATGCGATGAGGCTATAAGCTTATTTATCTAAATATTAATAATAATATTTATTTAGTAATAATAATAAAATAGTAATTACATGATTATTGTTATTGTTATCATTTTTATAGTGATGATGATGATGATGATGATTGTTATCATATACCTTTTGTTTTAAAACCTAGAGTAAGGTCATTACAGGGAAATCTCAGACCCGGACTTTGATGTATTGACCGAGTGATAGCGTAGGACCAAAATGAGGCGTCAAACTCGCCTTCTTTGCCCACAGAGGTTTTTCTCCAGTAACTTAGGTTTTTCCCTCTCCTCCCAAAGCAGTATTTGGAAATGCCAAGTCGATCAGTAAAAGGGTTGACGCCCCAAAAACCCTTAGGTGGTTATGTCTCTTCCAAATCACTAAATCGTCAACTTATTCTGTTTTCAGATTCATCTTGCACGCCAAAAAGACAGGTTTCGTGGTTGAGCACGATTTTATCATGGCTACGTACCTTGCTGATCGTGTTGTGGTGTTTGAAGGTCAGCCTTCTGTCAAGACCCTAGCCAATAGGTAAGTAATAGAACTACATTATGATCTGGAACAATTCCTATGATGTAAAATAGCGAATATTTTGCTGGACATAACATAGCTGTGTACAAATAGGGTGATTACTGAGGTACGGATCGCTGTTAGTTACACAGATGCTTGACTGACTGTCCAATAATTATAGAAGCCGGTGAATAACCTAGAATTTTCATGTCTGTTCAAGGTTTGAGGGTCCTTAAGAAGGAAATCTAGACTGATCGGTTTAGTCCGCATTTTGTCACACTTTGTCTGATATTCGTTTTTAACCCTTTAAGTGTAACAAATAATTGCGACTGCTTGAATTGAATGAGAAGAGAAAAGAAAACAAAACAGAAAAACGACGAAGCGTGCCCTCAGGATATCTATGTTAAGGCTGAGAAGTGAAATAAAAACACAACACGAATTCTGTATTTCGAGAAGCTAATCCGTTTCCGACCGTGTTGATAGGCTCATCGTCTCTTTGTGCGACATTTAGTTTATTAATAATATTTATTGATGTTGATGTTGATTATTAAAATATAAACAATTATGCAAGAGATTCAAAGCGAACTTTCTCTAATTCTTGTGATTTTATATTCACACTTTGAGATTGTTGAAAACTCTGATTATCTTTCTTTACTGTTCACATTTTATTGAGAACTTCTGGTTTCTTCCAGTCCCCAGACTCTACTGACTGGCATGAACAAGTTTCTCCAATCCTTGGAGATCACCTTCCGGCGCGACCCGTCCAACTTCAGGCCACGGATCAACAAAATGAATTCAGTCAAGGTAAGGCTAGCCATTGCATTTTACTGCGCTTTTCACAAGCACGCGAACTCTAAAGTTCAAAAGCCGCCTCCACAATTGCGTTTTTCGTTGTTGTCGATGATAATTACGATCACAAGCAACGAACCTTGAAACGCAGAAACAAACAAAACGGATTGAAATCCGCCAATCACGGATCACAAACAATGACCTTTTGAACCCGTTTAAGCAAAGTTCTCTGTCCTAAGAGGTCCGCTAAGATGATTGACAGCAGCGAAAAACGCAAACTTCAGAGTTCGTGTGTTTTTAAAAAGCGCTGTAAATCAAGAAGGGCGTAGCCGTTTAACAACTTGTCAACACTACGAATCCCCCGTCTGGTTAGCTTAGTTGTGGTTCTGCCGAGCGGGAGGACGTGGGCTAAGACCATCCCTTTTTTGTCTAGGGTCAAATGCGTTTCCACATTTTGAGTCGGTCACGGAGGACAAAAAGAAAGTAAGAAAAAAAAATCACAAGTAAGAAAAAAAAGTAGTTGGGGAATAAATGGCATCATTTTGTAGAGCCGGGAAACAACAAGACATATAATCACAGACTGTGGTGGTCGACACCATATTAAAAGTGGCATACGATAAAATCTGGTGTGGAGTGATAAAACATGGAGTGATAAAACGTGCAGTGGTAAAACATGTTTCATTACTCCACGTTTTATCCCTCCACTCCATGTTTTACCACTCCTCTCCATTCCATGTTTTATCGTTTGCCAGTAAAAGTAAAACATGGCAAAAATGATACACTTGAGAAACCACTATGGTACAAAATGCTGTTACAATGCTCACTTTTAGATTGAAAGAACTAATCCAAGTTTTTCTTTTTTTGAAAATGCCAAAAATTCTGGGTCTGTCGGACGACGCTATTAAAACGGAGAAAAAATGGACTTCGAGTAGTCCCCCATTTTTCCTTAGGGATAGTAGAGCGAGCGAAACGCGAGCGCGCGTGAAAATCGCCCCACGCGAGAAAAGGTGACACGCGTCAGTCAAGCATCTCTCCCCACCGCGTCTCGCCTTTCTTGCGTGGGATGATTTTCACGACGTGAAAATGTCTAATTTCGCGTTTTACGGAGGACGTAAACAAGCAACGACGAAATTTTATTTCTCTTTCTGAGCTCTGGATATGGTCCCTTGAAATTCAGCTTCAGGAGGGTTCGCCTACAATGGGTAGGAATAATCGCTATAAAGACTGTAGGAACGCAAGTCCTTTTTTTAATCGACGTTCTCGTTGCTGTCGCTTCGTTGGATCTTAAAGTCCCTATTATCCCTGAGGAAAAATGGGGGACTACTCTCAGTCTAGATAAAAAAGGGGATGTCTTAAAACCCCGCCGGGTTAAACAGCCAGAGTCTGTCAAACACTGACATGATCATGCTGGCTGTGATGTAAGATCTTCTTTCAGTTCAGGTGATCTCGTCATTGGGTAGTCTGCTACAAAGCCGTTTTTAGAGTCGTCAGGAGCGTTGCGTGACGACACTAAAAACGGCTGTGTAGCAGACCAGTCATTGGGCAGTAGCGTTAAGCTGTCGGCCTTGTTACCACCTTCATCCTGTCTTACCAAAAGGCCATTTTTATTTGATACGACCCTTCTTGCTTTATTATGTCAATCATGTTGTTCTAAAGCTAACATGAATTTTTTTAGCATAATTTCCATAAGAAAACGAACGAGGATTGTGTCAAAACAAAGTCAACCTCAGCCTCACATTCACTCGAAGGCTAAGGTACTTGGCCTACAACTGTGAAATGGTCTATTGAAAGGGGACGTAAAATAAGCCAAACTGCTGTTGGAAAAAAGTAGGGGACAAAGACCCCGGTGGGGTATGGTCTATCTCATGGGGGGACTGTTACAGGCCGGCAGTAATTGCTGTCATGCGCTGTTGCGGTGACCTGCCAAAATTGGCCAAACTGAGGACATAAATGAACAAAATTTAAAAAATAAACGATATGTTTTTATCGCAGGATTGTGAACAGAAACGAACAGGCAACTACTTTTACCTTGAAGACTGAAACGGCCCCAGGGTTTACTTCGAAACTACACAAAGATCCCAGAGCTGTTCAAAAATGAAGTTCACATCAGTGGGTAAAACTGTTGAGAACAATCGTCAAGTGACCTAAAGATGGTCGAATATTTGTGTATCATTCCAAGCCTCAGGAAGCCTAAAACACAAATTATAACTACTCCTTATCCCTTAAATTCTCCATAGTAACTTGTGCATTACAAATATTGCTCAGGTGTTTTAATCTAAGGTTAACAGAGGATTTCGCCATCCAACAAGAAAACAAAACAAATAAAAAAGCAAAAAACAAGACAAATGAATAGAGAAGTACTTTGTTCAAAGAAAGATTAACTTTCATTGAGAAGAGGTCAACGCTTCCTTTTTTATATATTTAACATTCATTCCTCTTTGATTCTGGTAATCGTGAATGAGATCAGTTTCAGCCTCTTTAAGTTTCATGTACAAACACCCATTTCTGGTACTGTTGCTTTGTACAATCAGTCACTTATTTGAATAATTATTATCTCAATTTTTTTTTGTCTGCTATAATATGTCAATCTGTAAATTTTGAAAATCAAACTGGTCATGATTTACACTTAAAATATATGTCCTAAAAAGAAGTGTGAAGGATATTTCATTTTGTAGTCGAATCCTTCCTATACGGAACCCTCTGCAAGCAGGGACATTTCTCTGTTACGGACAGAGAGCTTCATACAACCTTAACGTCATCGTTCCCAGGCTCCTTTCTCTTCCTGCTCCGAAGAAAGAAGAGAGAGGATCCAGGAACAAGTTTGCTTTAGTCCTTGCCCTGTGCCTATATTGACAAGGTTTAACTGCGGTTTCGCGCGTGTTTTTGTTGATCTTCTTTACGCGAACTTGAAGGCCGGTTGCTGACCTGTCATACTTGCAATTCTGTAGTCTCAAGGAGCGCCAGCAATATTTGTTTCCGTTGAACGGATTTCGGCACTTTTCCGTCGAACTACTCATAGTCAAATCGATATTTGGAATGAGTAAATCAAGGGAAAAGACCCCACTCTTTTTCCTTTACTCCTTTGCTTCGTAATCTGCGAACTTTACGCACGGTTCGATTATTGTCTTAATTTATTGTACTCATATGGTGTCAAAAGTCTTTACAAACGGATACTGTACGGAGTCTATAACTTTCCGATTACCGCGGAATTCGTCGAACGCATGTCCGTCACGCCGTCAATTTTTGTCCCAAGCGATTCCACCCAAAGTATCGTGCGTTCGTTCTCGCTTTTTGTCAACGCCCTCGATACCAGGTCCGATACAATCTCACTCCCATCGAAATTAGGTGTGTGTTCCAATACACCGAATGCAATCATATGGCAATCAATATATTGTAAATTATCAAAATCCGCAAAAAGTTCGTGATGCAGACGAATTACTGTTCAAATTTTTAAGTTTAATGATTTAAATAAATGATAATTAACTGTTACGTAAGGTACGTGACGGAAACATATTACTAAATGAATAAGAATTGCATTAAATGCCATATTTAGGTTGGTAGAGTATTTTAGTTGTTTGGCTCTCAAAACACACAAACGTAAAACCAAATATTGAGAGACTTACGAAAACGAAAAGCAATTAACTTCTTCAGGAAATCGTCAGGAGAGCTTACGTTTATTTTGCTGGAGTATTAGCAAACTAAAAAGTTTTTTTTCCAAGCAACTGCCTTATATTTTTTGGTGTTTTTACAAAACAGTTCTTCCATAGAAACATTGACAAAAGTGTCTTTTAACCCTGAAATTTTCTGCTGAAAGGGAAGCAGAAAGCAGCTGCTCTCTGAATACTCTCATATCTTGTTTTATCATATTTTTAGCAAAATCACAAAGGAATCGTTCTGAATATGATTAACGGACCCTTTTAAAGTCCGCTCCACTTTTGATTCCTGAACGTATTTTAAAATGAGAGTTAATAGATCTAAACTACGTTTTTTCCTAGTTTTAAACAGGTTTTAAGTGAAATGTACGCAGTCTTAAATAAACTTATATCAGTTTTAATCCTTTCATCATTGAAAAATAATTGTCATAGGGGACCAATGAAAACAACCCGTGAGGACGATAATTTCCTGCTTTTACGTGTGCTGTGATACTGCAGCTTTTTTTGATGAAAGGGCTATATCCTTTTATTCAACAAACAATGTTTTTTAGAGTAAATAACACTCGACTTTATATTAATGATGACGAAATTATATAATATTATCTTATTTTGCCGTGTGCGATTTTAAGAACACTCCATTAGAAGTGATGCAACAGTTTTCCCAACTCCGAAGTCGTCATGTTAAAAAATGGATGAGGCATTTATTTTGGTCGTGAGTTACATTGCTATTGCAGTTTACATCTGTACTGTTTTTGGAAATATTCTTGTTATAGTGGTTATCCAAAAGGACAAGAAACTGCGGAACAGTCCAAACACGTTCTTTTTGCTAAGTCTCGCCTATTCGGATTTCTTTTTCGCTATTTTCATTTTTTTGGATATAATTATTCTCTCGAACGAAGTTACAATTTCGTACTTTGAATTTTTCTTCAACGCACTTGCTTCAATCTATATTTTAGTTGCCCTAGCGGTGGAGAGATATTTTGCGATCCTGAAACCCCTCGTGCACATGACAAGAGCAAGAAAATGTCTACTTGTTAAAGTTTTGCTTGCGATATATGCCGTCGCTATCGTCTTAAGTGCGCCGGGATATCTCATCTCTTATGGAAGAAAGAAAATCGACAATAATCTACCAAACACAGCCTCTAATGGAACTGAAGTCGTACCTGTTTGGTTTCAAACTCTAAACAGAGTTTATTCTTTTGTGCTCTTCATATTTGGTTACATTTTGCCGTGCGCTGGCATTATTTTCTGTTATTCCCGCGTCATTTATCGGGCATGGTTCCAAACCGACTCCAAACGATCAACAGATCATGGCCTGGTAAAGGCTCGACGCAAGTTGACGAAACTATTTATTCTTGTTACTGTCATTTTCGTGCTTACTTGGACGCCGACTTTTGGAAGACTCATCGTTACAGAATACCACGAACGCAATCAAAATACCTTGAAATTCGAATTGTTTTCCATGTTGCTTGGGCTTGTTGGTGCCGCAGCTAATCCGGTGATATTTTCATTTCGTTGCCCAAAATTTCGACGAGAAGTTGTCAAGTTATTGACCTGCCAATGGTGTTTCAAACCAAAGATACGGCCGCACAGTAGCAACGTTATTGGGAAGAAAAGCTACTCTTGGACAGCTATGAAGTCAAAAAGAGGAAACGAGGCTTTTGCTGGACCAATAAGCTTAATTTCAATGAGTAAATTAGTGTAAAATGCAAGTAGTCATATTTTACGGGCTGGAAGACTGCTAACCATTTTTTAACATTTCAAATGTTGGCTTTATTTGAAAAAGGGGTGTTTTTGTGTTAAATGATGTCAGTAGGTGCGCCTTGCGAGGTCCAGTTAGTTGTATCTCTTTTCTTCTTTCTCAGTCTTCCTTATCCCGTTGCTGTGGCGTTGCAGTGCCACATGCACAGCACATTGTGGCCTGATCAAAGCAGTTTTGCAAGGAGAAATTAACCCCATTCAGACCAGTGGGGGTTTTTGAGCCCCTTCCCTCCCCTCGCTAAAATGTTGAATAACTTCGCCAGTTCAAAAACGTTCAAGCTACATGTAAGGCCGCCCAACTTACTGACGTTTCCTTATATTTATCTGTTGACATTTTTATGTCTTCTTGACGTGTACGACAAGATAAGGTAGCCTGCAAACAAAGCCGTATTTCTAGTTGTTTTTTCTCTCCACGGCTAACTAAGGTCTAAAAGACGGCTGCTCACTCAAGTTAGAGAAAAAGAGGCTCTGTCCGGATTGCGCAAGCCTTTGAAGTCGTTGTGGACAATATCAATCTCGTCAAACTGGTTTTTCGAGTGCGAGCATCCGTGTATTGATAAACCGATTGTCATAACTGAATCCGCTATACCAAGCGTACGGCTATGGGTCCTGGGTTCGAAGTTGTATTCAAGCAACAAGCAGCGCATGCTCAACAATGATCTCGATTCAATCAGTCTTCTCAAATACGCCAAAAATTGAGAAAGAGAAATAAAGGCTCTGCTAACAGGGCGACACTAGCCCTGTCAGTACCATGCATACCTTTTTTGTTTTGTTTCCATTTTTTATATATCTTTTCGTTCCTCGTGCTTGTTTTCCGTTCCGTGTTCCTCGTTTTAGTAACATCCAAAATATTAGCTTGTCGTTTTGAAAACAAAGAGCCCTGAAGGGTATTATCATGCAATATCATTTAATAAGGTTGGCAAAGTCATTATTTGAGGCACGTCCTAACCAATTAAAAAAACTGAAACGGTTCGTAAGGAGGAATTAAAATACTTCCCACAGTTTCCACTGATCTTGCAGCTTGTGACGCCTTGTAAAGATAAAAATATATATTTTACATGATATTGTAAAATACTTTCAAATAATTGAACATGACCGGAGGTAAGATTAATTACTATCTCACTCAGAAACCATTCTTTTTTTAAAGTGTTTTGACAGACAACGAGGTCAATTCTTACTTTTTCAATTTATTTTTTATTCGGTTTTATTTCTGACTAAATTAAAGTGCAGCCAACAGCAATCCTAGAAGTTAAAAGATATATTATATTTATTTATTAAACACTGATAAGCTGCTCGCGATGCTGGTAAGTTTTGGGTTCAAATTTGAAAATTTCATCTTTCAAAATAATGACACAACGCATTATTTTTTTTAGTCAAAGCTGTATGTGTATAAGAGCAAAGGATTTATTTTACCATTTTAATTATGGCCTTTCTCGTTGTTATGAAAAAATCATTTTTTCATGTTTTGATCACATCATTTTGCGAAGACAAACAAAAAAGGAGTTCCTCGTTAAACACCAAATTGAGATGACTCTACTTCAATTAGTGGGCTGAAATCAAACTTTTGTTTAGTCCACGGACAGTAAATAAAAGGTCATCAACGCGCAATATTTTTTTACAGAAATGATGAAAGTGAATGTAAAATTTGAAGTGCATATAATTAATAGTTTGTCCAGAGAAAGCGTCGCTTTACGGGTGTGATTTTGATGTGAAATAACAGTTGTGAAACGGTTGATAAACACAACTCGTTTTCTTCAATGGATAAGGTATTCTCTACGGTGATAACTTTCATTGCTATTCCAATTTATGTCTGCAATGTTGTGGGGAACTTTCTTGTCATTGTGGTTATTCAGAAGGACAAAAAGCTGCGCGAAAGTCCAAATACCTTCCTTTTACTGAGCCTCGCTCATTCAGATGTTTGGTTCTCCATTTTGGCTTTTGCTAATGTAGTTTTAATCTCCAAGCAGGCCACGTATGCCGTCCGGGAATTTTTTATGAACGCACTGGCTTCAATTTATATCCTAGTCGCCCTTGCAGTGGAGAGATACTTTGCGATTCTCAGGCCCTTTGTTCACCTGAAAAGAGCCAGAAAAAGTCTGCTCAGTAAAGTAGTGCTTGTGATATGGCTCCTGGCTGTCGTTTTGAGTGCACCTGGATATTACATAGCTGCTGTAAGAAAAGGGATCAAGTATGGTTGGACTGGAATAAACACGACATTAAATGAAACATGGGTCGAACCTCTTTGGTTCCAAACTTTTAGCACAGCTTATGCGTTAGTGCTGTTCATATTTGGTTATATTTTTCCAAGCGCTGTCATCATTTTGTGCTATTCACGTGTGATTTACCATGTTTGGTTTAACGCTGACTCTAGCAGATCTACGCAAGCTGGCCTCGTTAAGTCTCGACGTAAAATAACGAAACTTTTCATACTTGTCACTGTTGTCTTCACAATTACTTGGACGCCGACGTTCGTGGAGCTCATTGTTGCAGCATACGGCGAACACAGCGAGGAAAACATGAAACTCGAGTTATTTTCCATGCTGCTTGGGCTTACAGGTTCGGCAGCAAATCCGCTGATTTATTCATTTCGTAGCCCAAAATTTCGACAAGAAGTTTGCAAATTGCTGACTTGCAACTGCTACTGCAAGAAAAAGATAGTACGGCGCAGTAACAAGGTATCTGGAGCGTTTACGTACAACGTGTCTTTAACAAAAATGGAATCAATGAGGGAAAATACCCCTTTTCAAGGCCATAGGGTTTTCCATGGTAAAACAGTGTGATTCTTATATCAGCAAAGTATCTTGTGATATTTTAAGATCTATAAAGGAATGTTCATGTTTTTGACTTTGTAGTATGACTGTGTAGCTGCGAGCACGGGGCTGTTACTTGGCTTAACCCGTACCCCGTTATAGTCTATTCTGTGGCCATATTATAGACCACGTCTTATAGACCTACAATGGAGGACAAAATTCTTAGGACAATTAACACGATCTGCCTTAATTTTTCCCCCTTTCCCCCTCTCCCCTAAGCAATGTTGTAGTTTGTGCACCCCTGTACACTTTACCCTGTCCTAAAAGTGTTTCTTCATCCCAACATTGTTTGGAGGGGCAAGGGGAGGGCCGGTCGCGGTATCCAAGTGGTTAGAGAAGTGTACATTATGCTACATCTGAACATTTGATAAGTTAAGGATGTGGAAGGAAGGTTTTCCATAACCGTTCCAAGGATTTTTGTCCTCCGTTGTAGCCTAACTACAAAAGGAATATCTAGATCATAAATATTTTATGATGGGAAAAAAAGATTATCATCGCCGTGAAAAAGTTTATGAAATGTCCTACAAATTATTATTGCTTTGAAAATATCTTCACTGATTAATGGCCCTCTAGGGAGGCAAATTATAGAGCTGAAGGCAGTTCCTTTGTGTGATGTATATGCAAACATTCCGCACGCAAAGTCACAGTATGAACGTTTTTACGCCTCACCTTGGCTTCTCGATATCTGAAAAACTAGATGGAACAAACCTGTTTAATTGCTACTTACTGAACTCGAAGCACACCTATAGTAGTATTTGAACCGAAATAGACCAGTTCCTCATATGCAATAAGTAGTGGGATACCAGTATACCCGAGTTTTTCCTTATAAGATACCAATGTGCCTTAGAATTGTAAAATCGTTAATACCGCATACCTGAAATGGGTACACTGCAGTTAGTGGTCACTAGCTGTTTTCCAATCCCTGCTTTACCAGCTCCTGGCGAAGTTCTGTTAAGTATTTCGATCACCATGTCAAAATACATTCATGTATGAAGAAAAAATACTAAAACGCGCGTCTTGAAACCAAATATCAATAATTCCCAGGAAAACGAGATACTTTATACCCATTTTGAGACACTAGAATACCGTAAATCTGAATAGAAAAATACCCCGAATACCCAAAACGCCTGGCCGGGCCTGAACTGGTAATTCGTTGGCGCTGTAAATAGATTATCATCAGTACCATTTTTGTGGTGGTTTAAGGACTCTGCATTCAGAGTGTCATCAAGACTAAAGCCAGCAGTTGCTACTTATGTTTGTAACTTAATAAAACACTTCTGCTCGTTTTTAGACGAAAATTTAAGCTATCCATTCATAAAGCTTGTCTTCATTAATAAAACTTTTATTAAACTGGAAAAGTCAATTTAAAGAGTTAAATGCAGGGATGTTAATGGACGCATGGTAACTTTCTAATAATAACTTCCAACAATACACATTTAGCTTGATGTAAATGTTTTCTTTTAGGGACAAAAGCTACCATAATGCTGCTTTAAAATGGTTTCGGCAAGACTTTGTAAAATTTTCAATTTCTTTCTCAGTTACGACGAGAAGTCATATTATCATATCAGTTAATAAACCATGTTTTTATTTAACTTATTCTTGAGCTCTTTTTGCTGATTTATAGTTTCAAACCGTATTTTCATTCCCACGGCGAAGTAAATTCGAAATTTTAAAATTAGAATTAATAAGAGACTTTCGTCGATCTACATTAACATTATATTAAACATTAAACATTAATATCCTGTGTTCCCCCTTTTATGAATCTGTTGAATCTTTTGCTGATTTATAATTGTATTTCTGGGTCGTGGCAGGAGCCGATTACTCCTGGTTGTGGTATTAGAGACTGTCAATCGAAAACAATTTTCCAGTTTAACAAGCGGAGAAGAATGCACTAAAATGTCAACAGGAAAATATTGTTCTTAAAGTCAAACCACCCGACGATGTGCCTCGTGCAACAACTTCAATTTCCAATCATTATAACTCTATCATAATTTATGTTCTTTTCTTCAAATGGAGAAAACTGTAATCATCTCCTTTTTCAAAAGTTCCCAACTGATTCTTCAGGGTTTCCTTAGGCTTGTTTGTCTCCCTGGGTGCATTTTCAACAGTGACAATATTACAAGAAGTCATAACTTTAATTTCAATTACAATTGTTCCTTTTTAAAAACTTTAAGCTTCATCAGTAATAAAACATTGTTTTATTGTTTCAATCTCTTTATTAAAAACTAGGCAACGGCCATAAATTTTATTAGTATTTTGATCGGGCTTTAGTAACTATAAAGTCTCGAATATACCATTCAAACAAGCTGCTGGTAACCAGGCAATATCTTCTGCAGAAAAATGGGCGTCTTTCCTTCGGTAGTAGCGAGCCTTTCTTTCGTCATTCTTATTTGCAATATTGCTGGGAATCTTCTCGTGATTTTAGTTATTTGTAAAAACAAGAAACAAAGTGGTGCCAATGCCTTTCTTCTTTCGAGCCTCGCCTGCTCAGATTTGGGGCTCGCCATCGGTATTTTTCTGTACACAATTTTCATCTCTTACAAGATAACAAATGGAAATTTTGCTGATTTTATTTTACACGCTCTGATTTCTGTCTACCTGTTAGTTGTATTGGCTGTGGAAAGGTATTATGCTATTTTGAAGCCCTTCCTGCACTTGACAAGG